GAACTCAAAGAGCAATACGTCACGATCTTTATCTCGCCGTGTATTCTTGCAGTGCGTAATGCACGGCGCACGGACGTTGCGCGCGCGCGCACGCGCGCGTGTGTATGTGTGTGTGTGTGTGTGTGTGTGCATTACTGCAGATAGACTTTGTCGTGATTGCGAGTGCCGCGAGCGCAGGAAGCGGGCCATTTCGCGAGTCGTCTAGAGCAGAGCGCATGTAAATTATGGAAGGGACGGCATAATAACGCCTACGAGGGAGTGTAACGTCCATTTCGCGATGGGTGCGGAGATTGGATCGGGAAGGACGTAGAACAAACGCGCCATAATGAGACAAGTTGGGAGGATAAGAGATGAGACGAGGCGATCGACACGATCGTCATTAATGAAAGCTAATTCGGCAATCAAAAATCGTGGAAGCGACACTTTGCGTCGCAGTAATCAAGTTTTTCAGATCGTGAAGGTTCGCTTCTCGCGCGAGACGCGCCGTTCCGCAGATTGTCCGCGGATTTTTTTCAAATCGTCGCGGAGCGAATTTGCGCGCAGATCGAGGCGTATTCGAGAGGCACGTTTCGCATTTCTAATTACTCGCGCGTCGTGACTGTGGGTTATTTGATAATAATTTCCCAGTAATTAATGGAGTTATTAACTGTGTGTACTAATTGAAACGTCAGTCGAGAGATATGTGTAACAGAAATAATATCCTCATTTATCAAACAAGATAAATCATTCAACTGGTCTGCCAATCGATCATTCGCTGAGAGAAGTGAACAACTTCGTTCACTTACGAAGACGCGAGGAAACGTCTAGATTACAAAAATCCGTTTAGCGTATGTACACCGTCGACGTAACGACGAATCAACCCTTAAAACCGCGGAGAGTTCTCACCACGGCAACCCTACGCTTCGATTTTCTGCGTTCGCGAGTCATGTGCTCGATACGAGCGCCTCCGTCGTCTGTTGGAGTGACATTACGGAGTGGAGTCGAACGCGGCGGGAGAGCGTCAAAGAGGGAACGAGCGAGCGAGCGAGCGAGAGAGAAGAGGAGAGGGAAAAAGACAGTACGGAAAGAAGAAAGGAGGGGTGATTCGGTACGCGCGCGCGCGCACGTTCACGCTCCAGCACATAAAATACGCACTAACACATCAATGTAACACACACCGCATACACACACGCGTGCATATATACATGAGTGAA